TTACCACAGTGGCAGCTGTATGTTGAGTGCATGGGGGGCATATTTTTTAGGCCTATCTGGAAATATATTAATCATATACATGTAATTGTAAATGTACTTTTTATTAATATAAATTATCAAATGGTACATTCTCATACCTTGAAATAAATAAACAATAGACGTATTCTTTATTTATTTTTTTTTATTTTTTGTCAAACTGACCAATCTATGAAATAGAAATTATCAAAAGGTGCATTCCCATTCCTTCAAATAAACCACGAATATATTCTTAAAATACAACCGTCGTCCGACACTTCCCACATGGCAATCGTCTGTTCTCCTCACATGCACCCTGGTTTGTTCTTTTTAAGAAATTTTGAATAACCTTCATCTGCACTGCCACAGATGTCTTGTCAAAAATCAGATTTAATATCAGGAGGCATTCATTCCCTTTGTGTAATCCCAGGGTTGTATACTTCCTCAGCTGTCATAAAGTATCAATGAACTGAGTTAGTAACATGTATACACGTTTTATTACATTTCAATACAAAAGAACGCAACATAATGGTAAGATTATGAGTTGAGTTACAAAATAACACAACACAATGGTAATATTATGAGTTAAAGGCCCCATATAAAGTTTAAACCACTTTGGCTTATATTGTAGTCTTACCCAATGTTATCAAAGTGTGATATGTGAAACTTTTTTTTTCAATTTCAAAAAGTGGTTTTTGATAGACTTTTTGTTCCAAAATTTGTGAATTTATTTAAAACCAACTTTTAGAGGTCACTCATATCTTCTAATTAGCCACAATTCATACCAATGTATAGCATTCATCCTCCCATGTTTTTTGCCGCAAAAAATTAAGAAAATCGGTTCATAAATAAGCGAGAAATGAACTTATCAGTGCATGAAAATGGTTCTGAGAAAAATGCATTTCAAAATTTTAGTTCTCATAGAAATCAATGGTACAATGATATCTAAAACATAATTTATTCTTCCTTTTGACCTGGTTAGACAATCAACATTGTTTTTTTTTTATGAAAGTCTAACATATTTAGAAAAGATTGACATCGAAAAAAAAATTTCAATTTTTTTCAAAAAGTTTTTGGTACCTTAGTGACATCACTAATGTTTCAAAATATTTTTGATATGCTAAAACATTGAAGTGGCCCATTAAATATAGCATTTTATTATTGAAATAGTGTGTCCTTTGTTCAATCTTTGCATTGGTGTTAAAAAGATAATCTTTTTTGAAATGCATTAAGAAATATTTATGATTAAGAAATTTCAACTTTTTTTGAAAAATGGCGGGAAATTTGAATATTTGAGAAATGAAATGCTCACAACTTTTTTTTCAAAATATTTTTTTTGTTCAGAAATCTCTAAAACCACTTTTTAAGTCCTGACAAATAGTAAATGAATGATAAAAAAATATTTTCAAACTTTAGACGGGGACTTTAAGTTACAAAATAACACAACATAATGGTAATATTACGAGTTAAGTTACAAAATAACGCAACATAATGGTAATATTATCAGTAAAATTACAAAATAACACAACATAATGGTAATACTATGAGTTCAGTTACAAAACAACATAACATATATATTGGTGATTTATGAATATCATGAGTTCATTTACCATCTCAGGGTGGTCTTTTAGATAACCTAGCGTAATGTCAAGCACACTTAAAGATTCCGAGTGGAACGTTTCCATTGCTTTCTTGTTCTGCTTCAAGTACACCTTGTATGTACATAAAAAAGTACCATTTCCGGCATTTTGTTAAGACGCTCTATGTTAAAAAGATTAACAATATTTAATTCTCTCAGATAAAAAAGGATGATAAAATTTTATTCATAATGGATTTTTATAAGTTAATTAATTCCTGTTTATTTCCATCTCTGAAGTTTATCAAACAACATTTGTTTTTCTGAAACAAAAACAAGTCTAATGAAACAACAAAATCAGTTTTAATGAAAAAACGTTCACACACATTCACATAAGTACACATTATCTTTTAACAACACAAGCTCTTTTTCATTCCCTTTCAAGCTGATAGATATCAAAACATGCTTCTACTTACATAATGTGATGATTAGATGATTAGGATAATGATGTCTATGATTACTTCTGGTGATAAGAGTCCTTGGAGTATAAGATAAGTATGCATAATTGCTTTGGCACTTTATTTACCCTGTGTCTCCTTCTTGCAACAGGTAACACTGCATACAGTTCGGGTTCAGACAATATCGGGTGTTCTGCTTAAGTACATGAGAGACGGGTTGTTTTATTCTTGATCCCACGGAAACGAATCCCCACCTCATTAAATTGTTTATGGATTGATTCAAGGCCCTGTTCTCCATGGAAGGCAAGCCCACACTTCCACTTTTTAATCTAAGGTAGAAGATGGTCTTCAATCATATGGAATTTGACTGGAAGGGATTCATGTGGAAAAAGTCTCCTGAATGTTGAAGTATAGTCATTTATACAATCCTCTATAATAGTTAACTCAAACTCCTCAATATATAAGCCATGGCCAACCATCGTGTGCAGTGTTCCAAATGATTTGTTTAATTGTTTGAATTTTTCTGCAATTTTATTATTAGCTTTAGTTATCATTTGTTCATGTCTATGAAGGTGTCTTAAATGGTATTCTGTTTTTGTAACAATTGTATCACAAAGATCAGTGTAGCATTCATGTTTGAAATAAATATTTGTGTGATTTCCAACAAAACATTTGCCAAAATATTCTTGACGTGTCACTCCGTGACGCTGTAATGCTTTGTCTAAACATTCAGTTATGGCTCTTTGATCTTTTCATATTATTTGCTGTTATTCAGAGTTCATTTTTTCTATTGTTTCATCATATATTTCTTTTTTTCCTCTTGTTGTCATGATATCACGCTCCTTTTGTTGACTTTGAAACTGTCTAATGTCCTTTATTTTTTTTAACATTCTTTCCAAATAATTTAGATTTTCCACAGAAGATCATGTTTGGCAAGAACATCTGCTAAATTTTTGTCTAACTCATGCGTTTCTTTTATCAATAATTCATGATGCTTTAATGTTAGCCCAAGTAGGATATGTAAGTGGGGTGGGGCAATGTGGTCAATATCAATGTTAAAAAGGTGTGGATTTATAACATTCATATAATCTTTAGCCTTCTTCTTGTCACATTCACCTTCGTATAAAAATTTGTCGTACCATTCATCCAGGTGTTTTAGTGTTCAACTAGACTTAACGCCTCTAATTGACAATGGTACTGCCATATCTTTCTTCTCAATTGTACAAAAAAGACAAGGATGAATTGCAGCAGCTCCACTAAGTCCCATGGTCTTGATAAGACCATCGTACTTAGTTCACAATCACCACATTTAAAGAGGTGTATTGTTTTGTCATTCCACTCCATGTGATTTAGTTCATCAATCTGAGATTTGTACCTTTGAATTGTTTTTTCCATATTTATGTATGTGTCCTTTGCGTTAAAAACCCAAAATGCTACAACATTTTTAATAGAATTTGGATCTTTTGTGTTTAATAATAATAATATATAATAACTAGATTGGTGAAATTGAACAAGTTCAATTCAAGACTCAAGATTCCGTTTTTTCTATATCTTGAATCCTCACCATTGCATTCTCTTGTTTGTTCTTTGTACATCGTTATGTCCATAGAATCCGTGCCAAAACCAAAATGGCCCAGCCAGTTTTGATTGAAATAAAGGCTGAGCCTCATTTTGGAATTAGGATTCCAAAATCAAGAATTCACTTATTTTACACCTTGACCAATATTTGATTTTTTCTGAGTATACTTTCCCCAGTTTGCATGTTTACCAAATTTTAAGTCAAGTTTACACCTAGTAAATCGGTGTATACTTTCTGCTAGTAAATACCTATTTACTTGAGGCAAAGTTGACATCAAAGTACACACCAAGGTCTGATGTACATATACTAAGTGTAAACCGAGTGTAAATTGGATGTAGACTTGATTTCAATTTTTGTTTGGGTTGACCTTTCTAACTTTAAAAATCATGGGTCAATTTTGATTTCAGATTCTGAATTTTAACTATCAAATTGATATCAATCTTGATAGATTTGGAACACTATAAAATTAACCCTTTTGGGGATTTTACATTTTTCAAAATTGTTAAAAAATTCATCGTGACTTATAGTATGGAATAGCTAGAAATCCTAAATGGAAAAATGGCCTAGATTTTGACCTTGACCTTTGACACTTAAAAGTTGAATTTACTGACTTTTTAAAGTCATTTTATATTGTTTTTAACCTATTTAAAAGTCGAAATAAACATTTTAAAAAATTGTCTTTTTCTATTTTTTCTAATATAAGTGACGTCACAAAAACTAGAACAATTGATTTACTGGCTTATAATGGAGTATGTATGACAGCTAAATTGAATTAATGCATATAGTTGTATTTCTTGTTTGTTTATTTATCATATTAGAATCGTAACAAAGACCTCGATTATATGATTTATGGCAAACATATGACCTCAGATTTTATTCTGGCCATTGCCAAAGACCTCAATCGCTATGTGTCATATATTGCACCATAAATCATAGAATTCTGGTCTTTATTCCTAAATAATTGCATGAACATCAATAGCATAATAAAGTTTTATTGTTCATTGACTGCCTATCATAATATGCATTTAATTAAAGGCAAAATTATTTCTTAGATTTTTGTTGCAAAGACTTCCTCAAACTTTGTGTGCCTTTCCTAGAAACCTCTGCACTTGCTGCCATTCTCTGCTTCCAGAATTTGACAAAGGATTTTCCTCGCAAGGATACATACTTTGCGATCACAACATTTAGCAGTTCAAAACTGAGATTGTCACTTTCTATATATTGTGACAGAGGGGCCCATGCAGTCAGAATATCCTGATTATCAATAAGAGATTGGTGGATTTCCTTTTTGAAGTTGATCCCCAAGTCTTCACTGACAGTGCTGATGTTCAGCGCACTACGCACTATGGTTTCCATTTTGTGGAAAAATATATAAACTGATTCTTTGATGACAAAAAGTCCTCCACGGTTGACTTTCTCTGTCCAGGCATTGGTATACTGCTCCTCTGACTCAACATTGTCAAGTTCATTAGTCCCCTTCCACAATCTGAGGCACCTTCCCATGACTTCATATTTAGAATGTTTGTATCTGTTGTATTGCTTAGTGATGCTGAAGGGTATGAATCCTGCAACATAACGAAGAGCCATTTCTTCATCTCTTGTCATATTTGAAGTGACTGTTTTTGTTGAACTAGCAGGTGGGGTCACATGACAACACAAGTGGCGCAAATAAAGATTTAATATTTTTGTTTTTAGCAACCTGTCTCTGTTACTGATCTCCATGCGATGAAGTATGGACTGATATTGTTCATCAATCTCTGTTGAAATACAGACTTGATGAAAGTCCTGCATCATTCTGTATTGGCAATTTGAGGGTAGTTTCATCTTATGCGCTTCGACAACAGCAGGCCAGATATTCTCATGGAGGAATAATGCCATTTCTACGAATATAGGTTCATCACGTTTATCAGCAACTTCTTCAGCGGATGCTATTGCACGACGACCTCTACTGTCCTGAGGCAAAATTTTAGCAAGTATATCCTCTGTGATTGAGGTCAGGGCCAATATCAGCAAGTTCTTTGCCTCGTCATGGGCTTTCTCCTCTTCTAGCCTAGTCTTGCTTGGTGCTGGAAATAAATTAAACAAACTGATTAGCAATGCAAAAAATAAATACCAACAGAAACATAACATAGTAGATCTATTGGCCTTTGCAGACATATCAGATCACATCAACAATCCATAGCAATCCACATACAAAGACCGTATTAAATGCACTTTAACATTTATACACTTCAACATTGTAATGTTAACTAATATTAAAACTAATATACACGAATAATTTCATGGTTTTGAACAGTAAAAATCATTAAAAAAGGCAACCTTACAAAATGATGATTATTTTTTATTTCGGATGTACCATTAATGGATTAAGTGTGAGTGTCAATATCAAAATACCTTTTTTGGAAGTACTGGATGAGCCAGTTTTTGAACCGCATGTTTCGGTCAGAGGACGTTTGTGGATCTTTTTCACGTGAGCAGTCAATGAGTGTTTCCTGGTATATACTTTCCCACATATTACACATTCATGAGTTTCCTTCACATTTTCATTATCAATACTATCACTTGTTTCATAAAGCTCATCCAAATCGAAATCCTCGTCATATATATCGTAAATCGCTTCTAAATCTTCACTGCTTAAGAAATCTTCACTGAACGCCATATTGAAATTTGCTTCTTTTCCGGTTAACCGGCGCATGCGCATTGAACAGTTGAAAGGTCACAAAACCACGTGACCGAAACACTGATGGATTCACTGAAAGTACTTGATTGGTGTCCAGAGGATATAGGTCCATGCCTGACGCTTCCATTTGAATTCCACCAAATGGTTCATCAGAATCCTTACAGATTCTGCAGGCAAGGTCCACCTGGTCCCAAATATACGATGAGATCATGGAAATTTCATCCACTATTAATGTTTCTGTGGCCTGAATTCTTTTGCGGATGGCTGTTATCTGCTTTACCTTTGACAGAAGCTTATCCAGTAAGCCCTCTGCATAGTATCTCCCATCTTCAATACCAGACCATCTGAAATTAAATTACAAAATAATGAGTACACATTCATAACAAAGATCTCTCAAAGTCAAGTGATGTTATCAATTGATATTCTAAACATGAAACTTTATATGCCTAGAGGATTTTATAATTTATGTTAGGCCTACGTAAATGTATGTAGGGCTAGTATCTTATTCTACTGTAGTAGGTCACCACGGACGCTTGGCTACTAAAAGTTAGTTGACACAATATTTTGCTGACTTGTGAATAGTCATTCCGCCCACATTTTTTGCAGCGACTCCTGTACTGGCCACAATATAAAATCGCCTATGTACATCTCTGCAATGTTTCTTGTATCTCATTGCAACTTCACTTTTCCCGGAACCTGCTTGTCCCAGTACAAGAACATGGTGCCCAGCAACTGCCGCATCATATGATGCTTGTTGTTCTGGATCCAAAGGTTCCATACCTTGTCGTTCTACCGTACAGGAGCATCATTCGTGATATATTTGTTGATTTTATTAGCGTGTTGATTTCAGAATGTTTGGAGATTTAAAATGGTGAGCGTCTGATTTCGGGCTAAATTAAATGCTTGATTTTGATTGGTTTAAGCTTTAATAACAGAGTTAAGAAACGTTATATCAAACTACATTTTTACTATAATTAAGCCTTCCGTGTATTCAGCCTATACTGAAATCATTTACCTTTAATATATATTCATCAAACAGTTCGAATTTGTAACACATGAGTATAATTAAAACTTAAAGTTAGTGATTATTTTTTCTGTTTTTATTCAACTTCCGGCTGGGTCCCCTCAGATATCGAAGCGCGGATTTTGCTAACCGATGCTCGAAATAATGCAATGAAATAGGGTGCAAGTTCGTATATCTGTGATGATTCATACCGTAAGTTACTATTTAGTAGTTTATCTTACTTTAGAATCATATAAATCCCAATGAAAAGCAATAATCTTTGCACAATTAACCCTGAAAGTTGGCATATTCATAATTGCTGGTTGGGGATAACCACCTCAAAGAAGAAGCAGTAATACAGATGTCGGCTCACTATTTTATACATGTTCCCGGGGCCTATGATTTTTCATATGATTTTTTGGGTGAAAATAGTAGTATTGCTTAAGCCCTTGGGCTTCCATCTTTACACCCACCACATCTGGCGGCGATGGGAATCCAGAGACTTCGGACACTTGAAGATTACAACGAATACATAATTGATCAAATTATTAAATTCATATTGTTTAAAAGACTAATTTTGAAAAAAGAAATTGCCTAACATATTTCACTAATGGATAGGTCCATGCAGATAGAAGTCATAAATGTTTTTCAAATTCATTCATTCATGTAATAAGTATATTCAGATTTAAATGAACCTGCACCTTGTTCACACAGGTTTTCTTGCAACTGCATTTTACACAGAAGACCCCAGCAGCCCAACATTCACACTTCTTTGTTGCACATTTTGTTTTACATTTGCACTGAAATAATATATACATGTAAATATTTACTTTGTCCAAGTACATGTATTTAGATGAGAGTAATTTATAGAAAACTTACACTACAGCATAATATTATGAAATCAGTTGAAAAATTGAAACCCAAGTTTATTCTGGCTATACTTCATACATGTAGCTCTAGTCTACCTGAGAGTAGCCTAGTGAGTGGCAGTCCTATCTGGATGATAAGACCGGGTGAGTATGTGGCCGTCCTGCAAACAGAGAACACTTCTCTTTTTTCAGGACAGCCACGCACTCTTATTACCCTTTGAGTTCTTTTGAGTAAATTTAATTTTTTGGGGTTTATAGGGGTCCTGTTTATAGGCTAATGCATTATCCTGCCTTTTAGCCTAAGTTCCTTCCCTAAATTTTGTTTTGTTTGTTTTGAGTTATTGAACAAACTATGCACTTGACATGGTCGAAGAATATATGTAAGATACACAACTCACCAATTATCTAATAAAAAGAGCATGTCACTGATTGTTCAGAGTGTGGGCGTACACTATAGGATATCTTTAAGAGTTAAAATTCAATAAATCGCTTTTATTGTATGATGTACTATTTAATGAAGAACTGCATAAAATGAGGGTCCAAAATTGCCTTTCCAGTTCTGATATTTTTGGGACATTTTCCAAAATGTTATATGATTCATTTTGTAACACAAACAAATAAGAATAGAAGATATTATTTGAAAAGCCAATGCAATTGTCTTCCAAACAACCAGCTATATTGTACTGCACTGCTAGATGATCTTGTTTTTCTTTGTATATTCTTAATTTACTATTATTGGTTTTTCTTTTCACTGTTGATTCTCATCTGGTCACAATTCCTTAAATTTTAACTCCTAGTTCAGGTCTTGACAAAATACATGTACCCTAATGTAAAACCTTGACAAAAACTTCCATCATTATTTAGGAGTCTCTGGTAGTGGGCCTTTTTTCTTGGGTAGCTTGGATGCCCGAGACCCTGTTCCACTGGACTGTAGTTTTCTCTTTGGCATCACAGATAATCCCCGGATTGTTTAATCCAAAGCAAGTCCTTCCTTGTTTGTTTGACCTATTTAAATAGCTCAAACTATATTTTTTTTAAATACTCAATGTATTGAATGTTTGGGTAGCTGAACATTTAAATGTATAATTGTGTAGCTGTGACATGTGCACAGTTTGCTAGCAATTTTAATGAATGACCATGAATGAATTTTATTTGTCTGCACATTTAAATAACAAAAGTTTTGGTTGAAATAATAAAAGCAAATTAACTTAAGGGAATCGATTTAGAATGAATGAATGCATCCTCTAGATCACTTGTATGTTTTCTCTCTCTATAAGTTTTGCATTCTGTAGGCTTCATGCTTATGTTTTTCATCACATCAACTTCTGTGGTTGCTCAAAGGTGTCACTCCTGTAGAGTATATTCATATGCACCAACATTTCATAAATATGTATAGTAAAAAGCATTTTATAATCCCAAGAGAAATGCTTGAGAACATCAAGAAATCTTTCTCAATCTCTCGTACTTATGATACAAGCGTAATTGATCATACTAAATAATTTTTTAGTCTCCACAACTGTGATATCTTTCCACCTGTTTATCCTACTGTTTAGTTTCAGCTTTCCTTGGTGTAGCAAGTTGCCCCTATACAAGACAGCATTCATGATAGAGTAGAAAAGTATAGTTTTTACTCTTACTTCAATTGATGCAAAACAAAGACAGTCTTAGACTGCCCCCCCCCCCCCCCCTCCTGTATCCCATATTCCCATTGCTAAATGTATTGATATTATCATTACTAAATTCATAGATAAAAAAGTGATTTTAAATACTAAATGTATTGAAGTGCTGGCCTTTAGAGGAGGCCACCTTATTGATGAACCATTTTCCCATACGCCTTTGCACATGTCTACAGCATGCAAGCTTCTTGATGTCAGTTCTTGTGTGTATTGGGGCGTCAGTATAGCTCTTATTCTAACAATCACCTTTTATTTACAATTTTTGATCCATAGACAATTCAAAATGTCAACCATAACATTTTACATACTCCTCCATGCCACCTGCACTGCCTACATAGTTTTTCTGACTATCAGCATCATAATTTCCATTCTTGGAATTCTACTTCCTATTAATCATCCTTTTCTGGATAGCACATGAGGTACAAGGGTTCGACAATGTTTCAGTAGCAAGCAATTTACAGTTATTGTCATCTAGTGAAGTAACAGTCTCAACCCCCATTCTTGCTGCTGAATCTCACCGTTCCATTGAAGGAGACAGTATATTTGACCACTGTATTCCGGTTATCAGTTTTACATTGTGGTAACTCACCCGATGCTGTCTTTGAAGGAGCTTGTGATACAGTTTTAGTTCTTTAGATTGTTATTCCATTGCTTAGGTTTCTGTCCAGACAGTACGTATATATGGATTTTTCACTTTAATTTGACGTGAAGCCACTATTTAGGAAAAAACTAGTAAATACATTCAAATAGGCGTTAGTACACATGCTATATTACTTGTAATAATTTGTATCACTATTTGTGAAGGAAATTTGCATCAAAGACAATGCATATCAATATACTAGTACAAAAAAAAATTAAAATGCAAATTCATCCTCAAAAAAAATTTAATTCTTCATATAGACATCGAAAAGAATTTTGTAAATACTGAGTTTATGTTTGTCTGGGTTATAAAGGAGTTGTAGACCATCAAAGTTGCTGTGTATCCTATTTTGACACCTCAATTATGTTGATGAAGTTTATTTGCTGAGGCTGGTTTACTTCTAAATTGATGTGAGAGTGAGTAATCGGTATTTTTTAATTCATTTAAATTATTTCACAAATACAATTACATGTGCATTTCTGTTATGTAAATATCCATATATATCATATATATATATCAGTATTAGGGATTGATGGAAGAGGTATGGTCGGTTTTTTCCTAAATATTCTTGCTGATGATTTCACCAGTCTAAATATATTCCAGCTCTTTTGTGAAATTAATGATATTGTACATTGTATTTGTTGCAAACATTCTATATCAAAGCCTTCATTTCATTTTTTTCATTTCATTTATTTATTTTCAAACATCTGGTGAAACATACAGATAAGGCGGATGACACCCTAATGGGCATATTATCCGCACAGAGAA